TAATAAGACTTATCATAAATGATTTAATATGGGTCTATACCTATTATTATGGCTTTATAAGCATACTATAATTTCTTGCTTATATTAAAAGGTTTAGGTACTTAACTAACTTTTATTTCATCTGTTTTCAAAATATTCRAGTTACAGCTACTGCATGGTATATACACGCTATATTTATCTATACCGATATAATAATATGCTGATGCGTCGTAAGTAGTCAAGTAGGTATAAAGCATATATGGGTATCTATAAGTATATAACATAAACCATAAAAATATACCTAAGAATACCTCTCGTTATAATGATTTCAAATATTTMATTTTTCTGATGTAATTATATAGACATAATCAATATTTATTATTTATTAGTCTACATTTAAAAATAATTTAAATAATATATTATCATCAGCTGTGTAAATACAATCATACAAATTATCAAATATTTAATACACCAGTCAAGCTATTGTATTAGCAAATAGAACATTATCATAATATAATAATAATGTCACTCAYACATGGATGAGTAATGCCACAATTTACGGTCATATTATGATCAAAGGCAGCATCTTACTCCATTATCTATAAAAGTCTTTACGACACATACAACAGCGCTCAGTCACTCACCCAATRTTGYTTATAATTATTTTAACATTTTTTATTCGTGTTTTTWAAAAAATATATAGTAACGAAAATTAATAAATTATAACACATTTTTATATTATTTCAATTCACCTCTCCCGTTTTATGATCGGCACTTATTAAGTGAAATTTGTCAAAACATTTCTGAATCGGAAGTTCTACACAAGGTAAGTACAATTTTTTTTAAACATCTTTMCCTTATTGCTTTACTTATATAGTGTTATATTCTAAAATAAAGGAGTAACTTTCATACTCACTCTTTTCATAAAATATTACATAAAGTGATAATATTTAAATAATGAGTGAAAGGTATACATATACATCAACATTAAAGAATAATATTTAACTATATTTTTATGTATATACACTATACAGTTATAAATTTGAAAATATAATTTTATCATGACATATAGATTAAGTAAATCACTATTCATCTCATTACCTAATAATATATCCTAGACTGACAAATCATCTCCGTTTAGAATCGCTTTTCGTATACAATGATACCTATCATTACATTCAAATCTAACCTACCCTAGTCAGAGGTCCACCCACCTAATATACAGCAGAGCGACATCCGCTTACCCGYTTTTTTTTATTTTTTATTTTGGCTGCAGGCTATGAGATATTATAATATAAAATATAAGCGAACGCACATCATTATATCAATGAATGGTTTGCAATGTACCAAATTTGTCAATGGAAATAAAAGCCATATAAATAATAATAATAAACATCAAAAAATAAAAAATAAAATAGAAAAAATATATATTACAAGTAGTAAGCATTTAAAATTGAATAATTTATTTTTACATAAAATTCTAAAAATGTAAACAATTTTAAACACTCATACTTTTAAACAATAAAAATAAATTAAGTCAAAGTCAAACAAAAAAATATATACTTTATACAATTTATAATGGGTTCACCATAAAACTAAACAGTTGACAATTTATTGTAAAAATGTTATTCAAGAGGCAAACAAGGAAAATAAATGTAATACCCCGCGGCCCATTTAACCATTTGACATTATATGCAGATAATATAAAGTTAAGGTTATAGCATAAAATATAAAAATGAAAAATGAAAATTAACAACTTCTTCTACAAAGCCAAGCAAGTATTCACACATTCGTGAAAGATATAAAAATTGATCTATGCCAAAAAATGGTTTAAGGAAACTAAATAATGAAACTGAAAACATTTTACATAAATTCAGTTTATATAACTTCTCTCGACTTCTCGTATACAATCAATAATGTAACTGATAAAATTACAAATACAATTAGTAATTATTCTAAAAATTATTCAACTATTCAAATTATAAAACGTTAAATTATAACATCAAAAAAAGTAAAACATCTTTATTTTAAACTTAAATAGTTCATAACCATACTTCTAAATATATTTATTTTAATTTTATGACTAAAATGTTAATGCATTTATTTAAATAGCGTCTTCTTATAGAGAAACCCTAAAGTTACACCGATATAGGTACCAATTACTGGTATATTTAAAATAATTAGTAATTAGAGTTAACAATTAATTAAAACTCAACTGATCAAAATAATATTATCAATACACCAATTTCAGTAATTAAAATAAATCATCATTCAAGTTAAAAATAAAAAATCATATTGTTTGTGGTGTTAAATAAAAGCAAAAAGTCTTGTTTATAGAATTAAAGTTGATTAGATCTTTTTATTGTGAGTTCGTTGTAAAAGTTTCATTAAAATATTTTCACTCTTTTGTTACCTTACAAAAAATTATACTTCACTTTTGAAAGTTTTAGATATATACGCTACACAGGTATTATAACTTCAGTACATATTCAAGAGGAGAAACTTAAATACTCAACCGTTATATTATGGATAATTTATTTAATTATAACACATCTTCACTTAACTAATAAGTGTACTCGCACACATTGTATACATATTTATTTTTATTTTATTTTTTGATGTAGGTATTAATAATTGCTTTAAAACAATAACTCTCTTACCCAGTCTCCCAGTTTTCATAACTTTTGCTATCTTATTCTYTAAAAGTTTTAATATTTAAATTGGTTATGTATAAAATTGTATACATTATAAGTTACGAAGAAATAAGAGAAATTCTTCTAAATATTCAGAATTTATTAGTTATAATATCTAAGATAATAAAATATTTATCTGACAACGACGCATCTATAAATACCAATTAAAAATTGTCGTTTATTTGAGAAACATTGAATTATACAAAATAACCTATATTATAAACTAGGTAGCAGATATTCTGTATTCGGATAAATATTATAATATATTCAAATATAGTTAAATGAAGAAAATTACATTTTAGCTTAGACATATGCTGAAGTGTTTCACTATACCTATATTTTTTAGTATATCTATATTTAATAACTATAAAATAATAAATTATATATTTACCAAATCATGATTTACCGAGGTAGCAATTAAACAGATTTTCAATGATTCATTATAACGCTTAATAAAACTGTTGCTGGGGGACGAGGTGGCCGAGTGGTCTACCGCGTCGGATATGGCTCAACCGGATCGGATTCGATCCTCGACCATCGGGCGGCATTTTTCTCCGGGCAAGTCACGGTGTTCGGAGAACAAGTGCCGCCATCCCCCACTCCGGGGCATGGCAGAAACCTACGGGTGCCCCAATAGAAATTCTGCCAAAAACTCTCACCCACGTGTAAAACCAACCTACAGTTCCATAAGAACCTACAGTACTACCCCCTTCCCAATGGCCTTAGTTGCCGCGGGATAAGTAAAAAAAAAAAAAAAAACTGTTGCAAAGCATAACATATTTCACAATGTATCTCTAGATTAATTATTTTTACAGATACTATTTAAATAAATCCACAACATTTGATATCCACCAATCGTTGCAATAGCTAATTTCATAAACTGAAAAAAAACTATTAAGATATTATTTTCAGATAAAATAAGTCGCACAATCTTCTTTTAGTTACATTTAAAATTTTTTTTATCAATTTTTTGTGCTAAGGTGATTATTAAATTAATAGGTGTGAATATTTAACTATAATAATTACACAT